TTTTATCGTTTATAATATGTTTGCAGTTTGACGCATGAGGTTTCGCGTGTAATGTAATTGTTGTTGAGTTTTTTTTGTTATTTTTTTTTGTAAGATATCCGTTGCATAGGTGTAAGGATTTTAATATTTGATTAGCGTTCACTTTTTGTCTATTATACGAGGTTTAAGACATTTTTTTTTTGTTAACTTTGTTTCATTTTACTTCATTAAGTTTTTTTAAGATAATATTTACATACGGCCATTCCGTCATGTGATATATTTTTTAATTGTAGTATACTGTATACCGTGTCACTGTATAAAAATTGATTTGGTTTTTATAGCCGTATTTTCACACATGGTATTTCTGGCAATCATCCAGGTAAAATTGTTTCCTTGTAAGAGATCGTCCATAAATCAATAAATATTACAAATAAATATTTTAAAACCCTTCACCTAAAGAATTCTGAATATTAAGTCGTCGTGTGCAAGTGATCGTAAAGAAACCACAATTTTAAATTCACTTTCTTAAGAACTTGCGGTTCCTTAGAACCCGGAAAGAAAGAGTGTTTCTAAATACAATTATTACAAAGAAAGGTAAATTGAAAGTAAATCTAGAATGGCGTGCGAATATTAAAAAAAAAACTAAAATGTCAACTGTCAAATTTGAAGGGACCACACAAACTAGCGAATTATCGTACTTCGGGATTTAAGTTCCTTTTGAAACACCTTTTATTCAATACACGGATAAACCAACAAAGAGGCGACGAAATCCATACCATCTAAAAAAAACAATCGCGATAAAAGTTGCTAGACCGAAAAGTAGAAAAGGCGCATCCAAAAACAGATTATGACAAGCCCCTATTTTGTTTGTAAACAAATGTACGGCGTTCACAAAGGAGGTATGTAATCTGACACCTTCGGTGATTGGATGGATGGTAAGTTGATCATTGATACGTGAATTTTGTATTGTGGCAACACTAAACGCGGATGGGCGTCCGAATAGGCAAATTGTTGACGTTGAGGCACTAAACAGACACATCTGTTCGGCGAAATGCCTTTATATAATTTAATTGGATTTGAAAAAACTATTTAAATGCATCCGGATTTACGAATGAACGGAGTTATAAAAAATAAATTCGCTACAATAAGACGAAGAAGGCAGAGGTTAGGAGATTGTTCTTATGTGAGGATCAAAGAATAAATAGTTGCAGATATTATAATTTCATAGAGTTCTATTAGTAGGAAAAGATACTATCTATCATCTATATATAGCGAGCAGGTAATAAAGAGTTTTTCTACATTTAGGACAGTGATAAGTAGGTAACAATTACACTTATTAACATTGAACACAAAATAGGAATTAAGTTAGATTGCAAATATAATATCATAATAAATCAAAATTAATGGAATCTTATGTAATCTTAATGTGCGAAATTTTAATTCCATATTGTATAGGTACGAATTTGGTAGGATTCAAAATTTCAAATCCGCTGAGTTAGCGAAGTCATTAGTCGAGTTACTTGGGACAGTTGGTAGCATGCAAAATTTTGTCTGGCCACTCGGGGGCTAATGATAGCGGATAGCGCTCTATCCACCCAGGGGTGGCAACCTATTAATAATAATACACTAATTACGCTTGTTTGGCAACACTGAACGAATATTTAAATTCCAATTATCAGAGATCGAGATGACTTTAGTTTTCTCTTTATATACAACCTTGCTTAATGTGTGCCTATCATGATATACATAAGATATATAATAAAAACGTAATGTTAAGATATATCATGTTCGGATAAGATTTTTAAATTTTATCCGTACTAGAAAAAGGAAAGATTCATACAAAACAAAAACATTCAGTTCCAATCTGCAATGTTATTTAGGCGAAAGTTTTTCTTTAAAGTAGCCGTAAACCCCATTTTTCCCAGTAGACAACCCTACACTCCGGCGTCTAGTTCTGTAATGAAGCAATTTAAATGCATGAGGCAGGGCGCGAGAGTCGCTTGGTGGGGGGATTAGCTGTTACAATAATAAGGGCTTAAGTGACATGTAGCTCATAACAATGTATACCTTATTGTTTATGTTACATGGATTATATTTGCATTGAAATCCTTTGTACATAAGTCGTTTGGTGTCAGTAAGTCAGTGTAGGTACGGATGATAGTGGCTGCGAGGAGTAAGCACGGTATATCTCTGCAGGTAGAGGATTATATGAGGGCATTGCTTCGTTGGCGAAAATGTTTTCCTAACTTATTTGATGTAGTGAAAGGAAAAGTGGGGAAAGTGACAACGATTTCGGGTCAACTCGAACTTTACATGGGGTTATCGATGTATTGGGATTTTGTCATAATAACGAACATTTAAAGATATGAATATAATTATAATGGTTTTATTATAATGCATTAATATGACATAGTTCTATATTCTTTTAATCTATGCTCGTATACATTTCTACAGTCACCTTCAAGTCTCAGATGTCAGCGTCAGTTTCTGCTAGTCTATAAAAGTTCTTGATGAAACTTTAATTCGTTTTAAACTTTATTATAACTTTATTATGGAATCATAAATTAACCTTTTTATTTCATTCTATTTGAAACATAAAATTGCTAGGATCCATGAATAAAAAAAAATCTAATTAAATTTAGTTTCTATATTATAATGAAAAAATAAGAATACCAAAATATTATCACATAAACGTATTATTATATAAATTACTTATTTATTTCATATACTTTTTTCTTATACTCAGTTCGTCGAACTTTCAGATTTGTAGGTAGTTACTGATAAATCTTCTCCTATCAATTGATACTCTTACGTCTCTTTACATTTAGACAAAAGAATATATGACATAGTATCAGTCTATTAAAATGCTGTGAATTGATTTTTACATACACACACAAAGATGCATACACACACATATGTATATACATAAACATATAAGTAATGTAAATAATAAGTAGTAGATTGTAGTGTAAATGATACTTAATATTGGCGTTCACTTGTTATATTGAAGGCTGAATACAAGGTACTTGATCGACGTCAGTTTGATGTACAATTCAATGTTTACTAGGGTTGGTGTTGGTTTATTAGAAAATATTATTATCATATACATTTATATATAAAAAATCATACGACAAAATAAATTTACATTTTACAATGCACTAGAAAGTCTATATTTTAATTATCCATTAATAAAACTTATTAATAGACAACAATGCACTAGGTACCACAAAGAGCATTTTTTGTTTACTTTCACTTCCAACACCTTAATATAAAAATTCAATATATAGATTAACTTCGTTATCATTTAGTTTTGTATTGAAATTTCAGATTTTTTTACCTGCTCTTTATTGTATTGGGATGTAAAAAAAAAAGATTTAAAATAGTTCATCAGAATTACAATTCAATTGTCTACATAAATATACTATTGTAAAAAATAATTTCAATAAGTATAACGAAGTATGAGTCACAATATATACAAAAATGAGAATAAAACAAAACAGGTAATAAAGAGTGTGTAGTATATTTTCATACAGGCTTAAGTCAAGTAGTATAGAGTGTAGGGTACACTCTTATAATGTGTTATATATACTCGTATGATATTATTTTCCTCAGCCCTCGTAAGAGCTCCGACTGCGGTGGTGTCGCTGTGTCTGACACAACGATCACCTGATCGAGGGGTTGAAGGCTGCTTTTGAAAGATTAATCGAATACACATTTCAAAAGAGCTCGGTTAAAATGTACGGGAACTAGTGTTTTGTACGAATTAGTTATGTAATGAATGTTTGATTACTTATATGTTTATTAATTCTGCTTCTAAAAAAATAATTAAGTAACAGAACTAATGCAAAAAAAGTATATCTAATAGTTTATTTGAGTTTAATATTTTTTCCAGGTTTCAAATCTTTTGTATTTATTTCAATAGGACAAAAATATATTGTGTATTTTCATATTGCATACGCTCTTTGTCGATTCATTCCAAATTGCGTTCCCTAATGTTTTAATAAAGACTTCATGTCTTGTGTTAAACAACTTCCTACTAATTAACATTAACTACAAATGGTTTATAAATGGTATATTTTTTATTACAATGTTTAGATAAAACGCTGTATAGAAAGTGCATGTTAGCTGCGCCTGTTATAAATTATTTGAATCCGCCCCTTTGCTACATAAATATTACTTCGTGTTCATATTTCTTGATCTATAGATATAACAAAAATTATACCGTAAATTGAAGGTACGGACCATTTACTCGTTTGTTTTACTGTTTTTTGTTTTGTGGAACTTTAATTTGAATATATTATGTATCACAATATGATTTTTGTTGCTGATAACGAATCATTTTTCTTACTTTTTATTTCTATTTCATCACAACAAACAGCCGAATGTGTTTTCTAACGAAAGAGGTTATAATGGTAGCCGACCTTTTTTTTCCTAATATTGTTTATTTTTTTTAATTTCCACTGGGCGGGCTGGTCATTACGTTATGCTGTCATTGCATAACGTACTGATAATGATATTCCGCCCACCAATTCCACCTATTCTAGATACGCATCGGTGGCTGAACACGCCTACACAAACGAGTGCTGGCCACGCAAACATTTTTGACCATAATAAATATATTTGTACACCTTTTCAATATTTAATAACCGTTATTGCTGTTTGCAGACCGTTATTGGAACATCGCCTGAATTTAAACAGTAAAATTGATAGCAAATAATATGTAAGGGATAAATAAATACAGAAATAATTTCTGTATTTAATTTACTCTCTAGAAAATTATATTCAGTATCAACAAAGAGTTGGATAGATTAAAATGTAAATGGTTGTTATTTAAACAGTCTTACATTTGTAGTCCAAACAGTAGGACAAGAATGGAAATGTTTTATGAAAACATAAACTTTCCCATGGCTATCATTATAAAAGTGAATCGAATGTTCTGATGTCGTACATCGATAATGTATGTTAATCGAGTACTATACGGCATTATTTTTAACTGTTTAGTATGTTCAGTCATTGGTCAAATGTTGAAGCCAGAATTTCTAGAGAAGAACATGGAAAATTGCAAGAGAATCATGAAAAACCCATACTTTGATATCGATGTCGTTATTGGGAAACCCTGGAGAATCTACTACACGTGGAATTTGAAGATCGATGAGAAATGTTTAGACATGGTGTTCAAGAACGCTTCGAATTCGGTAAGAAATTTGACGTTAAGAAGTTTAAAGAAACTGTTTAAGATTTACATGACCTTTTAATATCAGATGCATATTACGAAACTGGTTTAAAAATTAAATATTGGTATATTTTCAACTCAATTAGAATATATGTATATAAATGTAGTCAACACCTACTAGTACCAAAATGTCCAAATCAGAATACCTTGCTTGTCTTAATAAGCTTTGGACTTTTAATTGCAGAGTTTAATGAGAAATGATAAGTGGATTATAATTTAGAGATTTGTTTATACAACTGACGCTAACAGTATAATATTTTATGATGTAGATAGTCCGCAGAATTTGGTCCGACATGAGTGAGTATTTAGAGACGCAGCCTGTATGGGGAGCGGCAACATTACACGTGTCTATGGGATCAGCAAAACACGAGGTGCTTCTCTTCGCTGATCCAGATGGCGCTGGTAGCTTTACAGCTGTCCCTAATGTAGTTCGGGATGCAAGTAAGAAACTTAACACCGATTGATTGATATTAACATCTCTATGAACTTAAGCAAAATAGTTTTGTTATCACGTAATTACTGACTGGTTTAATATCAAATGAAAAACACTACTTATCATGAGTAAATTTCTGATAAACTGTCCATTAGATTGCTGTTATTATTATCTTATAAAAAGAATAGATTCAATTTAATTAAGATACAAATAAATGAAGAATAGTTATTTCATTGTCACGTGCAGCATTCGAACATGCAATTCAAGCGACATCGTGTCCCAGACGGCTTACCAATTAAGCTAGCTCACTTTAATCTAAATGTTTAATTCGTCTACTCTCGTAAGGATGCACTATCTTAATTGGAAAAGTGACTGGATATGAAGAAAATATTTTCATACCAATCACGTATCGTTAATTTTTTTTGTATTTTAGTTCATAGTCTTCAAATATTTCAGACTTGAATCCAATGCGAAAATCGGTTCCGCTGCTAAAATTCCAGATGAAGCTTCTCCGAGGTGGTAAGTTCCTACTGGTTATGGACTGCCACGTGGGTGGTGCATCCCTCGCCAGCAGATCAGACACCCCACCATACAGATTGGAGATTGCAGCCGAGGCTGCTGCACTTGACTTGGGAGACGGCTATCCGGCGTGTGTAAAGGAAAAAAATAAAGACGAACAGTTCTTTGTTAAATAAATGATTCTAATCAGTTTTTTTAATTTTATTTAACCATTGACAAGCAGTAATAAAATATAATGCAATAAGACATCGAACAACTAAAAACTATATTAAAAAAGTCTTTTTGTAAAATTTTAAGCTTGTTTAGTCAGAGTTTTTATTTTATATAACTCTGTCTATAACATTACATTGTTTCCTTTGACATCAAATTAGATTTTGTTTAAAAATGTAATATTCATCTACATTTTGTTGCTTTTTTAAAATAGTATTTGTACTTTTTATAAATATATGACTCTTAAAGGTTTTCTGCAATTCTAAAATACTACTTTTTTTCTTTTCATAGAGTTTTTGCTTGAAACCGCTCATCTGGATCTAAATTACTTCTTCAAAATTTGTATTCGACTGAGAACACGTACCTATATATATTTTTTTAAAACAGAACAAAGAACTATATAATATTTTTAGTTAATTTATGCCTAAAGAAAGTAAAGACTTAACGCTTTAGGGTTTCCGAGATTGTCGAGCGAACTTTATCGAGCGAAATGTCGTTGTCATAATTCCTCTTTTAAAATAAAACTCTTATAGGTTGGTTTTGTTTTTGGACATACCATCTTTTTTGAATTTATAGTCGCTGACGTTGATGAATATTTTCTTTTAGAGTGAAAATCCAGTTTTTGTCCCATTTAGAAATAATATCGCAGGACAGTTCGAGATTAAGGAGGATGACTCCTTTGGGAAACCACAAGTTGAAATCACATTATAGTATATTTGGTCGTAATACTTTTCGTTTGACTCAAACAAAATTAACAGTCATTTTGCATTTTACTCGGCTCTGTCCTATTTCATCATACAGCTTTACCTAATGCCTCAGGTTTTACTTGATACAACGAAATACCAAACAGACTATAAACTTTTATGACAAACCTAGAAGTTTTCTTGAAGCCTCATAGGAAGTTGGAGATATTCTGAATATCATTGTTCTCTGTATATGAAGTGATAAAAAATAAAAACTATAGGGGTTTGTTGAACATTGCGTGGCATACTAACTTTGAACTCAACACAAATAGAATGTAAATTATTTCATGCAAGAGTGAGAATATAGATTGAAGTTATTCAAACAAATAGACTTATAACACTCCGAAGTTAGTGAGCAGTTGCGCCAAAATAAGAAAGAAATTACCGATTGTTTTATCATTTTAATGAATTTAAATTAATAGATCAAACAAAACGTCACAAAGTGCTTGTGATAACATAACTGTCATTTAATATAATTATGGCACAATAAACAAAGTATTTATTTATCAGGGTTTGTTGAAAAAAATCAATATAAAACAATAAATAACGTTACACAAACAATATCTGTTTGCTTATTATTAGTTTCCGAATTTTTAATAATAACAAACAAATATTTTAATACAAAAAAAAGTTATAAAAATTCGGTATGACCAATTGCTCGCAAGTATTTAACAAGCTAAGTGGTTTGAGGAATCAAATATTGATATTAATTTCAAAAATAAGTCTCAATACTGAAGCATCGCTATGTTCTTTATTTGGATGTTATACTCTTTATTTCAATGTTATAACGCCCAAAAAGTACCATCGATTGAACCTACCAATTGGACTACTTGTGATGAATTTCTGAACGGCACCAGCAGTTTTAATGTCAGCAGCCTCTTCGATATAGACTGGAAAATTTTCTACTTCTGGAACACAATCGACGATGAATCTTACACAGTGAGATTCTCGCCAGCTACTCCTGTGGTAATATTTTTTAACATACTTTAAGCTTGAGCAGTTTCTAAAGCTATATCTTTAATTAAATGCAAGTATGTAACATTATATTAGTAAAGACTTTTTAGTTATCAAAGAAGAGTTTATTGTCTTAATTTTTTTTGTTGAAATACGTTTAACAATATGAAATTTTAATTTTTATAAGAATAAAAAAACAATTTCATGTGCAATGTAAAGAATCTACTTACTGTTTTTCTTCAATTCATCACATTTGAAATACGTGATCAATATATTTTTACCTTATCAAGGTTAAATCGTGGCAAATAAATTCTTAACTATTGATAGTTTTGTTATTAGCTCATACTTATCATTTAGAATGCGGTGGTAAAGAAGGAGAATATGAGTTCCAGCTTCAGAGCCCAAAGAATCGAGTTAGGTTACTCTTGTAGAGCCAGGCTCAGGCTCTTTTTTGTTTAAAGATTTTGTTCTTTGTTGTTTGTTTGCGAGTAAGTTAAGGTGATATAATTTTACCTTTTACCAGTTAGTGGACCGTTTTAAAGCCGAGCTAAGGGGCGCAAACGAATCCATAGATTGGGATGACGCTGTCATGTTTATGGAAACTGGGATAGACTTCAGCGCTCTCTATTTAAAGACAACAGTGCCTGGAAAATTCAGACTTATATCCACACTGATATTTCAAAGTAAGAAATTAAAATTAAGAAGAATCAATTTTTTGTTGATTTGTTGTCTCCTTTAATGGGTTTGATTATTCATCAATGTATGCAATTTATGTACATAATGTTTACTCTAAAGTTGTTACAACTTTTATTAAAAGTTATTTTACATTCTCCTATTTCTTTACGGCTTCCTTCACTTGAATTTCAATCAAATCGAACAAATAAATTGTCTCATTACAAACTGTAAATCATTGAATTATTAACCACGCACTTTGGCAACGGAACACTGCACTATAGTTTTATCTTAATATTTCATCGTTAAAACTACTGCACCACATAATGATAGAACCCTTCTCTTTGCAGCTGAGAACATAGACATTTTAATATTTGGGTTGAAGTTGGTACCTCCGGGATATTTGGGAATAATGAATTGTAAATATCGTTTGTGCTACGCCCTGGCTCCTGTTGACAAGATGCCCGCAGATAAGAATGTTAGTGGAATGTAAACAAACTACTTTCATAAAACAATAAACACCTACTCACCACTGTTTTTGATAATACAATATATATATATTCATGAATTAGTCTCTGTATGGGGTGTTCACATAACAAGTTATAAGAAACTATTATAAATATCATGCATTAAATGAATTATGTATGTGTAAAAAATAAATTAATATAACGTAAATCTCAATTCATAGATTTTACCATCAGCAATGACGATGGGTTTCCGTGGAGATAGTAATTATTCGTACTTGATGAAATATGACCTCCATCGCATGGCACAATACAATGAGGACGATGCTGACGACGATGAACAGATGGAAGTGGATGCAGCCCTGAATATTGAGGAAGACGATTAAATTATTCAAAACCATAAAAATAAGGTACCACAAAATACATCTTAGTGAGCAAGAGGAACCAAATAATCATATTTATTAATTTAATGTTGTGCAAATATGAAGATTTTTGTTTTATAAATGGAAATAAAAATAACATTTCTGTAGCATTCTGTCATTCAATATTCTCTTTGATATCCAGGAAGTTAATGTATGTCGATTTTGTTATTCATAGGACTTACAGAAGTTCGAAACATTTCCATTACGTAGTGTCTTTACAAATACAAAGTATTTTTCAAAACGAATATACCTATTTTACATCAAAAACACATTACCAAGGTAAAACATATACTTATAGTTTTCAAACTGTTCAAAGTTTTCAATACGTTTACTCACTGTTTATGTAAAAAACTAAGCATTTATGTTTAGTTTCTTCTTTTGATAAATAAGATTAAACATTAAAAAAGTGAATAATAAAAAAATAGTTTTATAAAAACCCCCTTGCTGAACCCTGACTTGTAAGTTGAGCATGTATAAAAGAGAGCTGTTACGAACTTGTAAACATTATTGACATTACCAGGAAACATGAACACACTTATAATTTTGTTGTGTCTTTCGTCTATTGAAACAAAAGAGTTACAAGACGATTTTGAAAGTGATGAGGCAATGCCTGAAGTCGGTCCCCCAAAAGACATTGAATTTCCAAGACCGGTTGATTTTTTAAATATTAAACGAGACGGTTTTGGGGACGTTGAATTCAAACAACCGGTCAATTATGCGGAACTTGATTTGATTAAACCAAGAAATAGGGAACATGCAAAAGAATTACTTCAGAAAGCGAAGAAAAACAAAATATTGTGGATTCCTAAGAGTGAGATCTTAGTATTTAACAGTCCTCGTGATGAATTTTTGTATCATAAGAGGCTATATGAGACTGTCAAAAATGCAACGAGTGTTGGCAGAAGTTTTATGCCTGATTTCGCAAGGAATTTAGAAAGAAACTTAGCACATCCGGTGGTCAACTTGGGAAGATCTAGTGGCAGCAGACTAAGTCCAACCGAAAGAAATAACAGGGAATATTACCCTAGAAAGAATATCTCTGATTATTTTGCAGATAACTCTTTTTATTTAAAAACTGATCATTATCAAAATATAAATTGGACCACGTGCGATGAATTTTCGAAAAGAGCTCTTTTCCACCCCGATGACATCATCGATACAAAATGGATGCCATTTTACATTTGGTCAAAGCGAAATTTTTCAAGAGCATTTATTCATACTTTTGAATATCCAACAAAGAAGGTAATTACTAAATCGTTTAATTGGCTAGGATTAAAACGGCGTATTAATTTTGTTATTATGATTTTAGCGAGTAAATTACTATAGAACAAATTTTGGGCCTTATATGAAAAACATAGACTGGTCTCAACCTAAATTACTCAGGAAGGAACATAGAGAAAGTCTTTTGATCGCTGGCGACAGGAAAGGACTGTTTTATGAAATTCCAGATCAAGAACCTCCAAAGCCTGAACAAGGTAAATATTTTAGCACCTATTCATATATTTATATCACTGTATTACAAAACTACTGTTATAGAAAATACTACTGTTTATCAACAGCTTCTTTGATATTATCTATATCGAGTATAGACGATAGTTTTGAAATATAAATGAATTTCAGGAAAAGTAATTTTACCTACGGCGAGTATACGGATAAAGATACTTAATCCTTACATAGCACTGATGTATTGCGAAGAGTTTTATGCAACCATAATGGCTGAACTGGGAACGGAACCACAGGAAACAGAAGAAAAAATCATAGCGGCAAGCAAGTTACGTTTTAATGGTTTTGGACAACCGGTCTATAGAGATACTGAAGAGGAAAAGGGAAGAGAAGAACTTAAAATTTCCAACGAACAAAGGAGACCTGAAGATATAGTTGAATAAGAAGATAGATATTAGATGTAATAAAAAATTAAAATATCTGTAAAGCTAGTAGGTACTTACATATTTCTATAATAATTCTCAAACGACATTCAATGGAGACAATTGGTTTGTAAATACCTATAGTGAACGTCAATATTACGACCAAAATATGTTAAAAAACGTATAACATCCTTTCTAACTGATATATTAACCGTGACATCGCAAACATTGAACAGAACTGCTGTAACTATGTTAAATTTAAATATGATATTGGGTTTATTTGTGACTGTAATCATATTAGCGGTGGGGATGGTAGAAAACGGTTCGTCCCCGACTATGCAAGTAAATGAGAGTACTACATGTGAGGAATTCAGCCGCTTCGCCAGATTTAATCCATACTCCGTTCTGGATGACGAATGGATGGTTTTTTATTATTGGGGACCCTCTCAAAGCCCCATGTTCGTCAGGTTTTTCATACCCACTAAAAAGGTTTATAATTTATTTCAATCTTGTTTACTTATGAATGTATATAAAATATATTATCACAGTAAAATATTTAATTAAGATTTATATTAATAATTTAAGAGGTTGGTGAGAAAAAAAAAATCACAAAATTTGTAATTTTTTTATTTATTATCATTTATTGTAATTCATGTGTAAGATTTTCGAATAATGTTATTGATTTATTTGTATTTTGTGATTATTCTATATTTTTAAGCGTATAAACAAATTTTAACATTATTTTTTTAATAAGCATATAGCATATATGAGGTATGAAATGGATCATCATTTGGTAGCGCCAATTAATTGGACGGCAAGAGGTGTGTTCATGAAAGAAAGGACAAACATGACCTATTACCTAGAAGAGGTCTCAGACAGAGGACATTATAAATTATATGAACTCTACAGAGGTGAGTTTTACAAAGAAAATTATATTGAAAAGTCTCAAAAATTATATAAAGCAATTCCATATAGCTATGCTTGGAAACTAGTAGTAGAAAAAATGGCCCAATTATTGATCACTCCAAGTTATTAATTTACTTAACAAACAATTATATTAATATAATTTATTAATAATTTCCAATTATCATACATTCTTTAAAATTATATATTGAATTATTATCATTTAAACTTACTTTTATCTTGTCTAAACCTACAGGATTAAATTTAGTTAGACATCTGTATTTAAAAACAATTAATAATTATTCCTAATAAAGTATTATGATTTTAGACATAAAAGAAAACGTTGTACTCACACCCGTGGATGTAAGATTTAAACAAACCAGTGACACTCGATATTTCGCTGTCATGAACTGTGATGTGAGTCTCGAATCAATTTTTTTGTTGCTCATAAATTAGTACAAAATTTACTATAGAAGGACATGAGAAAAGAAAAAACTATCCGCGAAAACTATTTCTCATCGCACAAAGTCACTCTAGCAAATTGGAATATATATGTGATACCTTTTCATATAATGTCTCATTATGTAAATGATATATTCTTTTAAGTAAATCTCCTTCGAAACTTTTTAAAACATTTGACATATGTGACTTTCAGGAAGATGTTGTGTACCTGTTCTCAAGAGTCGCGCACGTGCCTAAGAAGAATGAGATCCAGGAGGTAGCTTCTAAGTTTGGTTACCGAGGTCGTGGGGGCAGGTCGTATCTGTACCAGGGACACCATTGGATGCCTATCGATGAAGCTGATGAGGAGGATTATGAAGACGCCTTGAAAGGAATTTATTAACAAGATATACTCCAATTTTGATCGGTATATGAATATAGTAGGATTTTTAAAATCGAAGCATACAGATGCAAATATGTTGTAGAAGTTTACCCACGATGATAAAAAACTTTCACCAAATTATAATCCCTAAACGTTAGGTAATTTAAATTTTTATATGTATTAATTGTTTTTTTTTTTAATTTAAATTGTTATATAATAGGAACTTCTTTTATTATTATTTAACTTTTTAATTTTTGAACATTGAAAGTATAATTATACAACAATTTTCTGAACAAGGAAGTTTGTTCAGCTAATTTGTTCAAATAGGATCCTATTAAGAATGTAAATATTTAACGCTATTGTAAGGACCGCTTCGGGCGCCCTTTGCAATTACCGCAGTGATAATTACTGTTTCATAAAATATTTTATACAACCGTATAATATAAAGTTTATTATTAATATAAAATATAATATTATATAACTTATAATAATTTATAAGCAAAAACATCTTATATAATCAATAGAAATTAATTTTTGCTAAAATTGTAAAGCATACGCGAATTACTTTGGCACAACTTTGTTTTGCTAAGCTGGTACTTTGTAAGAAATTACGCTCAGAATATGATAATATCCCAAACGGTTAAGAACACTTAGGATGTCAAAATGGAAGTTCAATTATTAATTATTACTTATTAAACATACCGAATAACTTACAAGAAGCATAAAATTATTTCTGACCACCATCGAAAAGGCATTAGGCAACAAAAAGGGGACATATAGTTTGCTTTACAGTGACTTTTAGTGTCTAGACTTTAATGGTTAGGAAGCGGCGCAGTAAAGAGACGATTATACTGTTACCTCGGAGCTGTCTCTGACTGAAATAAATTATAATATTTATGAGTATTTTTTGTGGCAGCTTTTACTCGCACGGAACTCTTTGATTCTCTTTACGCTCACCTCAAAGTTTCCTTTAACATTTTATGATGTCACAGACTGATATATTTTACATATTTTATATAATTACACATAAAACACCCAATTAATGAGCGGCGTAAAACTGTTGTGACTGGAAAAGAATAATAATAATTTAATATTTAGATAACGTTATGACGTCATAAAACTCTTATAGCGGCTAACTAACTGGTGATTTTTTAATATATTCCCTATATTTTAACATTGTAAAAAAGTAAGAGAACGCACCTTGCATTAAAAATTAATAAAGAGCGAATTATCACCTGATTCTAACAAAACCTTATCGGTAATTATTGGAGGGTTTTTCATCCAAACGTTCATCAGATCATCCATCTTGTCCAACATTGACGTGCGTTGATGATTAATGCTTTGACTTGTCCTTTATCTAAATAACGCGTAACGAGCGACTTCGTAATTTTCTCTAAAAATTATAATTACAAGGGCTGCCTCTATCGTGATATTTTTAAAAATAGATTATTATCTGTTTTAAAAATAAAAGTAATATATAACGATAGCTTAAATTGATCTTGTATTATGTTATATTTACATGTAAATAACAGCTTGTTAACAAGAACAGGTCAATTATGAAATAACACCTATGTATTTAAGTAATGAATATATAATGTGCTATTATTACTACATGAACATGTTGCTTTATTGTATATTTTGCATAATTCTATTATCCAGTAATATAACCGCTCATGATGTTTACATTTCTTTTTGTTTACATATGTACAAAAACTGAGATATAATACATTATTATATTGTACATTACAATATCTTTCAAATTTGATAACACTCAAAATCTTGCAGGGTAAAGTTAAACGAAGAAAAGGCAACATAAAATCAAAACCAAAAAAACAAACAAAGTCACTGCAATAGTTGTCTTTATTAACACTTATCAGCGTTAACAGTTCCATTATAATTATCCACAGAACGCCACGGGAACCGGAATAAGACGCAGAAATAGATATCAATCTACCCGAGTATCGTTTAAGATGAAAAAAAAAAAATAGTAGTATGTGTTGCAACCAACCTGTTTACCGATCGTCCACAATTGTCACATTAGAGACGGCTACGCGTTATTCATTAGCCTTTACGGCACCACGATTACCATAAAACTCTAGTAGAAAATAATCTTTGAACGTTCGATGTGAATAAATATGCCATGAGGGAATTTAGGAACGATAGTTGTGTATCCCGCTGCGACTAAAGACGCCGCTGAGTTTCGTGGCGCTACGCCCTTTATATTTTATTGTAACCAAAAAAAAAAATGACTAATAAACCAAAAACCGCTGTCCGTACGTCTGATTTTTCATCCACAATAAAAAGAAACACAATATTATATTTGGTGTAAAAATAATCTATAGTTATGTTGTTTCTTTGAGGCTTGCTTGAAAATAAGATCAGGCAAACCGTGATGATCGCTATTGTATATATTTTTTGATCTGTCATCGGGAACTAATTTGGAAAGGTTTTAGTGCTGTTTTCTTATTAATTATTTTTTTGTCGAACGCTGTAACTGCTATTGAGACACATGGCTGAAGTCATGGTCCTTTTATTTAATAAAAAAATACGATATTGAAATATATATTCACTAAATAAGATCAAGCGTTTGTTAAATTTAGTATATAATATTTTAATACGTAAAAGTCGTTACAACTGATTTACAGCTTTTGAATATTTTATTTGAGATTTATGTTTAACAATAAAACCTTTTTTTGCAACACAATAGGCACGATTTTTTATTTGGATATTGGAATAAAGATTGGTTAGTAGGCGTTTAGTATGTGTAATAATTATTTATTTTTACTTTTACTTAATTCTTAGTTGTACAGTTTTCAAATGTTATTAAAAATAAGAATTATGAAGGTCCAGCTTTTTTAATTTATTTGTATCTTGAATTTGATACGTTAATTAAAAATGTGATGAATTCAATTAAAAGGTAACTTTTTAGCCATCGCTGTAGGCTTGAAAGTAGAATAATAATGATATACAAATAGTAAATTCCTTTCGTTTTGGTATAAGCTTATTTAAATATTGTTGGCTGTAATTTCTGTTGTCACGGGAAAATTTCTCTAACAAGAGGCACGAGGCAAACACGCCCCCAAAATATACGCAGAATCGGGTGCCCTAGACGATCCTATTTATCTATTTCATGCTTATAAATCTTTAACCGACTCCCTTCATCCCATTGCCATCTAATTTCCGACTTAATACATCATTCAATAAAGTCCACATTGCCGTGAACGTAATCGCAATTGATACGGTATTAATTTTTGATAACTACCACAGGCGTAGCAAAAGATGGCGCGTGGCGATGCTGTGGGAAGACTGTATCGGTTACCAGAAACGGTTAATACAATTTATATTAGGCATAGTAAAAAATATAAACGAGAATATAAATTTATTTGTCTTTTATTAGCTATATTGTTATTGTAAGAAAGTTATTAACATGTTTTGTTTTTGTAAGAAAGTTTTTAACATTTCAGGTGAACTGCATGAAGAGAGGTAAATTTGGACTTTGAGGTAATTTTATAGATATCGTGATCATAGCCCACATCTGGACAAAGACTTCTCCTAACTTCTTAATCCACGAACCTCTAGCCATACTGGCAGGTCAGGTTATATGTTATGTTTATAATTTACAGTACCTTAAGATTCCATCTCCCGTTAATACTTGCAGCTTTGTGCTCAGCTCACACCAATTTAACTTAAGCCACTCTCAAGCGATATTCTAGTATAAGTCTATCTATAGGTCTGTCTACTATTCTGATATGTAGGTTTATGCTATCGTAAAGCATTATAAAAAACTTTATTAAAGTTGGAAAACACTAATAAATAAATCCAGATATCTTGACAAAACAATTAAATGACTCATGGAATGAAAATTTACAACTAATATTGAGTATATAAAGATTATACGAAGAGTGAGAGTGAACAGTTTTTTTTATATGAATAACTTTTCGTGGAAATATCATTCTGAAATTTATTCATGGTACATTCGTTACGCAAAATTAATAATTATTGCAATCGTCATAACAGAGGGTCCAGCCTGAGGCGTTTAGGGCTTGAACTCAATTTGTACAAACTCGCATGGAATGCAAAGGATGTGCACTGCTTGGAAGATACTGTACTGTCGCTTAGAAAATATATAACGCAACAAATCAAATATCATTCGTCAATACATACTTTAACCAACATATTTAAAGTCTGTCATTTGAATGTATCTAGCATCCAAAGTATTTTGTTATGAGTATCATTTTTAATTTCTCACAATCATAAGGCATTTGGTGCATACCAATATACAAATTCTTAATAGCACTTCTGTATGTAACTGTACTTCAACCCTAGCTGGGGCTGGACCCCACGTAAACGCCAGTGTCAGAAAAACAACTCGCAGGCCGCAATGAATAGCAAAAATGTAAATTTAACGCAAAAATAGATAGAGACGTCGGGTTTGAGATATACGGAAAATAAATGCTCTTATATTTGATTACATGTGTTGTCTCTTTAATGTTCTAGATATAGGAGTTGTATAATTTAGGTAATGCAAGGAGTACTATTACCTTCTAAGACTATTTTATTAAATGCCATCGGACTTCAAAAACAGTGTATATTGTACCTTTATTTATCAAACACTGTAGATTCTAATTCTTATGGTCTCAGCGTTATAATTTTATGCATTGGTCTTATATTACCTCTTTAGTAAATTTTGTTTTTTACACGTATTTTGGCTTTGTAAATTAGCCATCAATTAATAGAAATAGCGATTACTTTATTTCCTACATTTATAAAAAAAACCCTGATTATTTATGATGCATTACAGAAAGCATAATTTTTGTCATATTATTTCATGGTGAATACCCGAAAAAATAATACCAGTATAAGTTGAGTATGTAAGTAATGTAAAATGATAACATGAAATAGAAAAGGTAATAACAACATGATGATTGTATTGTGATTCAATTTTAATGTTAATCTGTGCCCATTTTGACAGTTGTTGACATTTGAACACGTACGTTCTAATTTTAGAATAAATTTCTGAT